GAGCCATGGCTGCTGAGCCTGTGCGTCCAGAGCCTGTGCTCCGCAACGGGAGAGGCCACAAGAGTGAGAGGCCCGCGTACTACAAAAACAAACAAAAACCTTCTTAGGTAATACTGTATGGGTAAACATCATCAAGTGTTCTAAAAATTATATGAAGTTCCTAAAATTTGGATATGTCCTGCTATTGTTATCAGTCTTAATTCTAGTTATCTTTAAAATAAGTCACAGCAACTTGGTTAAGCTTCTTTGTCAATTACATTGTAATCAGATCCTTAACTGTGCCTTTTCAAGTCTTCTGTCATTCACAGATGTTTCACTCATGCTTTTGCAAAATCTTAAGAAGATTCACAGAAAGGACTTTTTGGCAAGTAAAAGATTGATAACTTCCAGATCATACTGCTGAACTAGTTAAGAAATTCTAATGGAAACCCTGATTGTTTCATAAAACTGTTAACAAGATTAAGATCAAGATTAGTTACATAGTACTGAGTGACCTAATGAATATGGTTATGTTTTTGTCTGAAATACTGCTGGCGTTTAGTCTGTGTTTTCTAGACATAAGGAAACCTTTCCCTTTATAACAACTTGGTAAGTTTTACCTTTGTAAGTGGAATTGAAACATTTATCTTTTCTCTTGACCTGATCCCTCCAGGAGTTGGAAACTCAGAGTCCCAACAGCTTTATCAGCTGAATAAGGAAGGTCACCTCCTGGCAGGAGCAGGACTATTGAGATATTTTAGGAACCTTGAGAAGGGAGGAACTCTCTCATATCTACAGATACTGCAGGCAAAATCTGATGGCAAGCTGTTGATATGATTTTCCTGGCCTCAAGAGGTTTTTAAAAAGCTCAATTGATATTCCTTAAGAAAAGTTCTAGCACAGCCAATTGAAAAGAGCCTATACGACCAGTTACACTTAGGTAAATCAGGCTGTTTACTGAAACTAGACTTAATTTGGCTCAATTTGGTAGAAATGAGGATAAATTAGAGATTACATTTTGATAATATACCTTTGTGGATATGGAGGTTTTGTATATACTGAGGGTTTTTGTATTATCTACATCCAAGATGACCTTGTTGCTATATTATAAAGTATTTTAATTAAGTTACTAAAGGAATAGTCTAAGATTGTTTCTGAAACTGATCACGGTAATCTATCTTTGGATGAAGATCAGATGTCCCATGATCCACAACCAGGAGATTATACATACTGGAAAGGACATCACTTGTAAGACTCTCTCCAACCTAAATGAAAGAGCCCTTATCAGGTATTAAGTAGCTCATGCGCAGTGAAACTGAAGGAAACTGACTCTTGAATTAATATTTCCCACTCAAGGGCTTCTGTACTGGACTGGTCGATAGAAAGGACTGCTGACCTCAACACCCGCATGAGGAAAAGACAACAGCAGTGGTAGACAGCTGACCCAAGAATCTGGACCAGGTCTGTTAAGATCCATCCTAATTCAATGGAACTGTTCACCAATGTGTCTCCTTATCAAAATGGAAAGTTTTTATTTCTAATATACTTCTGACTCCAATGTTCAGGATAGAAAGGAAATTCTCCAGTGAAGCTGAATAACTACTCATGATATGTATCACTGCTTGCTACTGAAAGATCTGCAAACAAAAAAGGGAAAATGATGGAGGAAACTTTCACGTATTGAGGTATGGAGAAGTCATTCTGGCTTATAAGGTAGGGCTGTTCTAGTTTATCAAACATACATTGTACATCTGCTTTAACCACTGAAGAATGCATTTAAAAATGAACTAACTGTGGTTCAGGCATCCAAAATGGATCTGGTGCCTATTATGCACATGGTTTCAGACACACTCCTACATTACTGAGAACTTGAACGTTCTGAACTGTATCAGACTCAAGGACACTGTCAGCTGCTATGAAACCTTTCTCTAGGAATGGTAACAAGCAAGACAGCTCAAGCTATAGCCTCGCAGCAGAAGGCACTAGATTCTTTAGGCAGAATAGTACGAGATACGAAAACTGCTTTAAATTATATTTTGACAACAAAAAAGACGTATAGTGGCCAATAACTCCTGTTATGTATATGTTAATACCCTTGGAGAAGCTGAAACAAATAGAGTTAATTCGAAATCCTACTTACAGAATTTACATAAAAAAGGACCCACTCTGAAACCTATTTTCCTGGCTGCCATCTGTAACAGGAAGACTTCTGGGGTATATACTACACGGGTGCATTTTGATCATTATCCTCATTATAATATGTCTACTAATTTTCAGATGTTTGTCCAGTGTTGTGACAAAGCAGTCAGAGAGAGAGGTAATGTTTTATAATACAAAATATTGATGCTAAGCAACTTGACAATTCTTTAAAAATGAAGTCAGGGACTCGGGACTTCCCTCGTGGTCCAGTGGCTAAGACTCCGTGCTCCCAATGCAGGCAACTAGATCACACATGCTGTGACTAAGACCCGGTGCAGATAAACATATTAAAAAAGTCAGTGACTCTCTCCTCTAATCCTGAAAAAGGTTGTTGCCTCTCTTCCCCTCAGGCTTGAGGTGTACCAAAGAAAAAGGCTGACTAAAACCAAGCAGGACCCTGTGGGCCTTCCTAGAGAAAGACCCCCCCCCCCCACCCCCAAAAAAGTCAGTGACTCTCTCCTCTAATCCTGAAAAAGGTTGTTGCCTCTCTTCCCCTCAGGCTTGAGGTGTACCAAAGAAAAAGGCTGACTAAAACCAAGCAGGACCCTGTGGGCCTTCCTAGAGAAAGCCCCCCCCCCCCCACCGCCACCAACAATGTCCCCTGTTTTAGCCCCCCAGGCCTTCCCTGAGTTCCAAAGAGCAAATTTAATTAGAAGAAATGCAGAAACAAAGGAAAGCAGTCAACTAAGGCAAAGTAATAATTTAGCCATAAAACAAAGTCTCCGACCTTTAGTGCCTCAAGGGCTATAAATAGTATCCTGAGCCATGCCCTTGAGTTGTTTTGCAGATATCAAGAACTCCACCAGGTGAAAGAAGTTAACTGCATGCTGACTACCAGCATGTAGACCCCAGACTGGTTGGAACCAAAAGGCTGAGATTCCCAAAACATCACCCAATTATTCACCATTAACCAATCAGAATTGTATGAGCTGATCGCCCATCCTGTGACCTCTCCCTCAGTCTTCAAAAGCCCTTCTCTGAAAGCTGCTGGGGAGTTTGGGTCTTTTGAGCACGAGCTGCCCATTCTCCTTGCTTGGCACCCTGCAATAAACTGGGTTGTGATAACAGAAAGTACAATGTTAGTTGCTGTGACCTGATCCAAGTTTCTGGTTGGTAACAGAAATACTAAGAGTCATTCAACCTAAGGTACTGATAACCCCCTAAATATCATCAGAAACCACTGGAGGACGTTTTCTTTCCTGAACCTCATCTTCTGACATCTAGTAAAGGTAAAAACAACTATCCAGTCTGGCACCCTCCCATTTGTCTAGTCCAGCACATATGTGCTTTGGTATCTCACTGAGCTCTTGGCCAGGGGCACTGGGCAGATGCAGGGAGTGCCTCCAGTGTGAGAGACTCACTAAAGTGTGTGTCGTAACTCTTGCTTTGAATCTGGGGAGAGATAAAGAAACCAACAGTTCAAAGATAGATAGGGCTTCCCTGGTGGCGCAGTGGTTGGGAGTCCGCCTGCTGATGCAGGGGACAGGGGTTCGTGCCCCAGACCGGGAGGATCCCACATGCCGTGGAGCAGCTGGGCCTGTGAGCCGTGGCCGCTGGGCCTGTGCGTCCGGAGCCTGTGCTCCGCAACAGGAGAGGCCACAACAGTGAGAGGCCCGCGTACCGCAAAAAAAAAACCCCCCCAAACAAACAAAAAGATAGATAGGAGGACACAAAGCTAACCAGCCAGTCCCCGATGAAAGAGAAACACAGCTTTCAAGATGTACAGTTAGGGTGTGTGGTGCTAATTTATTACGGCTGACTTGCCATTTCAGCTTCCTGGGAAAGAAAAATTCCTGTGACTTGAACTGCGGAAAGACAAATTATCACAGATGTCACATGGCTTCAGGGTGGAGCCAGGAAAATCAAGAAAAGTAAGATGTTTCTTAGTTTCCCTTCACTCAAAACCACTATTTCCCTAATTCTATCAAACTCCATAAAAGGCACAAAATAGAGCTAGAAACTTGGAAATATCCAAAAAAGTGAGCAAAGGCTCTAAAATTAGAGAACATCCCTGTTCCTCCTGTTGGCCTGAAAAGACACCCTCAGTCACCTCCCATTTTCTGTTTAGATCCCCTCTTAACTCCAGATGAAAATGCAGCTTTTGGCCAATGCATCTGCTTCCCCTGCAGTGCAGCTAGGATCCCCCAGGCCATCTCCTCTGGTCCAGACCAGGCTGGATTCTCTACCTGCTTATTTTCTACTCATCAGTTGTTTTTCCAAAGCTCCTCACACGTTAAGGTCCTCTCTTCTGGCTCAGCCTAAGTCCCACATCTCCCTCTGCACATGTGTGCTGGGAGGGAGCACGTGTTCTGGGGTGCAGTCTGCACTCTCCGTTGAAGGAAATGGAGGTCACGTGCCCTGCAGTGAGAGTTAGCTCCACGGCCATTTCCTTCAAGGAGTCTGGGAACAGGCCCCATCCCTCTCAAGTTGTTTCACAGCCTTCTCTACAGTTTCTGTAATTAACATTCACAGGTCCGAACAAAACCTGGAGTTTTTCTATTCTTTACTAAATAAACATTCGCTTCACAGAAACCAGCCCCAAACTCATCAGTGTCCAATTATGTGAGAGCAGGCACCAGGGGGACCAGGTCATACATTTCCCCGCTTGCAGCGAGAACATTAACGAACCCTGCCTGGCAGTGCCCTCGAGTGTCCAGGAGACGGTCCTCTCCCCCACAGGCCCAGTCCTGCCAACACGGGGGCTGTGAGCCCTTAGGGTGAACTCCTACTTGCTTCTATCCAGTGAGGCTTTGGGAGGGAAACTGAGCTGAAACAGAGATTGCTCCCTTCCCCTTGAGGCCTGTGGAGGATTTTCTGGGGTCCCGGTCAGAGCGGGCCAGGCTCCAGACAGCTGCCGTGGCCAACCTCGTCATCGCCCCATGATGAAACTGGGTTCGTCCTCCTCCTCTGTTCCAGATGCCGCCTCAGAGCCACTGGATGACTGCTCCTGGGACTGACTGGATCCTGTAATCACATGACACTTGGATTAGAGAGGTACAAATCTTCGAGTATCCCCTGATTAGAGCAAATCAAGGGGTACTCCAAGAAAGGACTGCTGAGGAAAACCCAGGAACCAGCTGTTCCTGGACTTTACAGGGAGGAGCCAGAGAGGTCCTCATGTCCATCAGTCCCCGTTGCCACTCCCAGGTATAAAGGGCCAGTCACAGAACTGACCTACCATGCTGGAGGGTGGGCCTCATCCTTATGAAAAGGTCCAGCACACATGAGATCCTGATGCCCCATAAATCAGGCCTCACTGCTTTTTATATGATTCCCCCCTAAAGTCTGTCACCTTGGCAGGGCGACGTCCACAGCAGCCCTTTAACATTTAGCGCTAGGCTGACAACACTCCTGCTGACGTCTCCAGCTCTCACCCCAGTCTGCAAAAGGAGTCTCAAAAACCTTGTAGCAGAGGGCTCTGCCTACAACAGATATGTCAGCTTCCCAGCTCTTCCCACAGATGCAGAAAGCCTCTCTGACACTCCACGTGCAGCTCTGAATCCCAGTGTCCTCCCTGGCGGTCTGCCAGTCTACCCTCAGTGCAGCTGAGCTGGCTAAGAGCAGAGCACAAAGACAACTTGTTCCCAACTCCTCCTCCCCTCTTCTCGGGAGCAGGGCAGCAGGCGAGAGCTGGGACGAGCCAGGGCCCACACCAGTCCTCCAGCTCCCCGTCCACGCCAGGAGGCCACTTGCAGGCACCGTGGGCCTCCTCCTGCAGACATGCAGAAACTCACTCCAGCACCCCAGGGCCCACAGGCACCCAGAGCTTTGCTACTGCTGTTGTCACAGGACCAAAGAGCTTCAAGGCCTGGGGGCGCCCAGGGCACAGCCCAGTCACCTGCACACCCTAGGATGGGACACTAAAGAGCACTCATGGCAAGGGGTTGACATCATCTCTATGACTTAATTATTTAGGACTTTCCTCCATCTTAACCTCACGCCAAAAAGAACGAGAAATTTTGAAAGTACAAATGAGGAGTGCGTTTTAAGCTAAGATTTGTTGAACGCCTATTATGTGCCAGGCACTGTGCTTATTGTCTTTGCATATACGTACCATCTTAACTCTAAACAACAGTCTATGAGATAAGTAACACTCCTCTATATCCATTTTACAGATGAGGAATAAAGCTCAGAGAGGTTAAGTAATTTGTTAACCAAGGTCTCATAATCAGTAAAACCAGGACCTAGGATTCAAACCTGGACTATCTGACTTTCAAGCCTCTGGTACCTTGCCTGCAGAGATGCATAAGGAAATGGAGGCAAAAGAAAAATGGCATGACAGCCATAAGAAAGAATGAAATAATGCCATCTACAGCAACATGGATGGACGTAGAGATTATCATACTAAGTGAAGTCAGACAGACAAAGAGAAATACTATATGATATCACTTATACGTGGAATCTAAAAAAAATGATACAAATGAACTTATTTACAAAACAGAAACAGACTTCAAAAACAAACTTATGGTTACCAAAAGGGAAGGGGGGAGGGATAAATTAGGAGGCTGGGATTAACGTATACACACTACTATATATAAAACAGATAACCAACAAGAACCTACTATATAGCACAGGGAACTCTACTCAATCCTCTGTAATAACCTATATGGGAAAAGAATCTGAAAAAGAATAGATATATGTATAACTGAATCACTTTGCTGTACACCTGAAACTAACACAACATTGTAAATCAACTATACTCCAATATAAAATTTAAAAAAATGAGGTGAAAACAGGAATGAGGTGAGCCTACTGAATGGATAAGGAAAATGTGGTCTATTCATACAGTGCAACGATTAAGCCTTTAAAAGGAAAAAAATTCTGACACAGGCTACAACGTGGATGAACCCTGAGAACATTATGCTGAGTGAAACAGGCCAGTCACAGAATGACAAGAATGACAAATACTATATGATCTCTTTTATAGGAGGTACTTAGAGTACCCGAATTCAGAGACAAAGTAGAAGGGGTGGTTGCTGGTGCTGGGAGGAGCAGGAAATGGGGAGTTGTTGTTTAAAAGATATAGTTTTTGTTTTACAAGATGAAAAGAGTTATGGGAATAGATGATAATGGTTGTACAATTTGAATGTATTTACTGCCACTGAACTGTACACTTAAAAATGGTTAAGATGGTGAATTCTGTGTTATGTGTATTTTACCAAAATTTTAAAAAAAGGAGGGGAAGAAAGAAAAAAAGAGAAAGAAAGGAAAAGAGAGAGGGAAGGGAAGGAGGAAGGAAGTGAGGGAGGAAATGCTATGCAGAGACTGAGTGAAAAACTATAGATGGATCAAAAACATAGCTCTGAGCTCCCTGAACTCCTAGGGCAGAACTCCCTAAGCGCTCTCACGTCATGTCACTCATGGAAAAGGACAGTATTTCTATGGCATGTGGGGCAACTGGTCCAAGGCCATGGGCACTCGGTCTCCACCCTGAAGGCAAGGGGATCAGGGTCTCTGCCACGTGTAGTCCATTCCCCATATACCAGCGGGGGAGCTCTGCTCTAGAACCTGGGCTCCAAGGCTGAAACTGCTGAGTACTTGTTTTGGTCCATAACTTAGTCATACTTGGTCAGCCTGAAGTCTCTATAAGAACCACCCGCCATATCCATAGAGATCTGAACACATCAGGACAAGAGCATAGACTTTGATCTTTCATTCTGATCTTAAAGAGACAGTAAAACAGGAGGCATCTTTGAGCTCACCGAGTAGACATCATGAGCAAGGCTCACCCTCCTGAGTGGAAGAAATTTATGGAGAAGTTGTTATCACTAAAATTAAATGGTGGCAGACATGTCCAAGGAATATTGTGGGGCTCTGATCCCTTTATGAATCTTGTGATAGATAAATGTGTCGTGTACATTTTATTACTGAACATTTTTATTAAACTTGTAATAGTGGGAAAAAAAACCCCAGTAAAATACTCATTAACCTGGATGTTTATGGAATGGGGTGTTCCGGATGCCTGAAGTGCTGACTGACAGAGGAGGACTCAAAGCACTCCTTGTGACTGAAAAGCTCCTGAAAATGTAATGCCTCAATTAATAGTAAACACAATTGTTTCCTGTGTGTCGGAGGCCTGGAAGTATCTCTCTCAAAGAGGAGAAACCTAGGAATCTGCTGCACATTCAAGTCATTTGGTAATTCAACAAAATCATTTCATTCTCCAATGAAAAGAAATAGGACTCAGAGAAGAAGCTGATTCTAGGTTAGGGACAGGAAATACACAAGACAAGTCTGGACTATCTTGTAGTACCAGAAACTAAGGAAGTGCTGTTAAAAACAAAACAAAACCCCTCAAAACTCCACCAATAATGGGAGTATGTAAAAGGGACACGGGCCATCTGAAAGCGCCCAATGGCCAAAGCCGGAAGAGTTTGGGCAAGAAAATGTAGTAGTGCTGGATTAAACCTAAAGTATAAAACAGCCCAGAGTCCACAATGATATAAAGAAATGAGGGAGAGACAAATCCACGCAGAACAATTTCAAATAGCTTCTGTAGCTACTCCGCCCTCATGGAGGGGCTGTATAACCCGCCACTCCTCAAGTGCGGGCTACGCACAGGGAATTCTTTCCAAAGCGCACAGCGTGGTAAGGGGAAGAAGAGTCACTTTACACAGAGAACCCTGAGGAGCACCTGCCTGAGCAGGTGATCACGGGCAACATCAACTGTGCCAAGCCATTCTGACAAGCACCCAGCCCTGACATAAGAATGGTACTTTCTCTCTGTGGTCTTCCTCCCAAAAATAAATAACTCATGAGAAAAACATTAGACAAATCCCAACTGGGGGACATTCTACAGAACATCTGACCCTCAAAACTCTCAAGGTCATCAAAACAAAGTCTGAGAAACTGTCAGGGCTAACAGGAGCCTAAGGCTACATGATGACTAAATGTAATGTGATATCCTACATGGGATTCTGGAACTAGAAAAAGGCATTAGTTAAAAATTAAGGAAATATAAATAAAGTATGGACTTTAGCTGCTACATGTATCAACATTGGTTCATTAGTTGTGACAAATGAACCACATTAACTTAAAATGTTAACAACAGAGGAAACTGGGTATATGGGAATTCTTTGTACTATACTATCTTCGTAATATTTCTGTAAATCTAAAATCATTCTATAACACAGTTTATGTAAAAAAAAAGACACTGCCTACCCTCATGGAACTGAGACTGCAACTGAATAGATAAGCACGTTATGTGATTCAGCAGATTCTGTAACCAAATATGTGCAAAACTCTGTGGAGCAAGGTGGAGGCTGGGTGGGGAGGGAGGTTAGAAAAGGCTTTACAAAGAGAGGAGGGTGCAAGATGAGAAGTTTTCCAAGCAGATGGGGAGTCGGGTAGCATGAAAACGAAAAGAGCTCAGAGGCCTGAGCATGAGGAGAGATGGGAGAACAGAGATGTTACGCTTGGTGAGAGTAGAGGACACGTGGAAGGGAGAGGCCAGAACAAAATGGTGGAGAGACCAGAAAGGGCAGGAATGCAGGAGCGACT